CCGACCCTGACGCCTATACGTGTACTTGGAGTTTGCGTGTCTCTCTCTCCATGGTGGCTTGGATTTCTCTCCGTATTATCAGTGTGGGGCAGCTATCACACGAAGTGGTTATTACACGGAAACATGACAATCGTAATTGATCGAGGATATTAAATATCAACTTCAACAAAATCGAAAAATAACATCGACTACAACATTGAAGCGACTTAAAGCCGTATCGACACTTTAAGTGGATGCAGAAAGAAAAAGGGGGGAGGGTGACAATAAGGGTGCCACAGTAGCTAGGCGATGTTAACTACCTCGCCTCGTATGAAGGAGGTCGTGGGTTCGATCCCGTCCCGATCCTGACACCTGCTGTATATTTGCAGTTTGCGGTGTCTCTCTCTCTCTCTCTCTTTGGTGTTCTCGTGGAATTTTTCTCCGGGTTCTCCGGTTTTTCCCTCCACATTTAAAAACACGCGTTCAGAGTATTTGTCTGCTATACATTTCCATGTGAAAGGGCATTTCCGTGAGCTACCATTTGTGGCGAGGTCGCTTCTGAAAGGAGCTACATAGCTCGAGTTGGCCCTTACCTGGTCAAATAAAATATTTAGAGACACGAAACGTGACGTATGGAAGCGTTACCAGAACGCGTTCACCAGGCAAGATTGTCCGTGGTTACGCACGCAGCCTCACTCCGGCCAGCCGGTCACACCGCTCAGACTATTGAAATGACCTTAATGGTAAGAACACAAATATCTACCCACCCCCACTCACCATTCTGTCCCCAATTGTTGTATCGGTCCACTATCACCAAACAACTTCGTCATAGATGCTTGGAAAGAGTGATGGATGCCATTTTAAGAACGGCACAGAAAAAAATATCTGTGTCAGGAGAAGGAATAAATAGCGCGAGATTCGCGGACGACGTAGATGGGTTGGAAGAATGTGTAGTTGTACTGCAGGGAAGTGTTCATACCCATAATGAGTCAGGAAAGGATACAGGACAAGGGATTGACGTGGAAAAGACAGAGACGATGATGTTCGGAAGGGAGGGCATTGAGCAAGAAGCAGATAAAAAAGCAGCAAGATTGTGAATGTAAATGAATTTGTATGCGTGGGCAGTCTACTGACATGGGACAACGACTGCACGAAAGGCACAATAAGGGCGAGGATCGCAAAGGCAAGAGGAGGAACGGCAGAATGCAATGATATTTGAAAAAGCAGGCAAATCAGCTACGAGACCGAACTGAACATCTTAAGACCAGGCGTGTTCAGTACAGCTTTGTATTCATGCGAGACTTGGACATTAAAAATAAGACTGACAGAGAGGAGATATTGGCACTCGAAATGTAGTGTGACAGAAAGGATACTGCCTCTAAGCTGGACCCAAAAAGTGACAATCGTAGAAGTAAACTCTTAATATACTATATTTACATTACCAAGTAAGGCCCACTGAGCTATATAGCTCTTTATCAGACGCGACCTGGCCACAAATTATAGCTCAACGAAGTTGCTTATCACGTGGAAATGTATAGCAGCCAGATACTCTAAACGCGTGTTTCTACATGTGGAGGAAAAAACCAGAGGACCCGAAGAAAAATCCAGGCGACTACGGGGAGAACATGCAAACTCCAAATATACAGGTGTCAGGGCTGGGATCGAACCCTTGACCTCATGCATACGAAGCTTAGCAGATAACATCTCTGCACCTGATGCAGGCCGAATATATTGGAGTTTTTTTTACGGCACGTGTGGATGTTGTCAACGTAGTATAGTGGTGTCCTGTATCATAGTTTAGTGTAGCGTATAATCGTGTATCGTGTGTGGTCTGCAGTGTGTATCGTGTGTGGTGTGTAGTGTCGTGTATACTGTGTCGTCGTGTAGTGTATATTAGTGCTGTATAGTTGCATTTATGTTGGACCTCTTTCGCACCATACGTAGCCAACCGTGCCTAACGGAGGTTCGGAACACGGTTATTGTAAATGTGTTGTGTTAGTTGTACCTGCGCACCACCGCCAACGATGCATCGCCAAATGCTGTTCTCATCTCAACCAGAAGGCAGCAATTACCAACCCACCCCAGCTGCATTGTCGATGTTCGACGCACGGCGGTCAAACCACGACTCTACAATGCTCACAGCTGGACTTTGGACAAATGAATCGCAGAACAAAACTCTGTATGCGTTTGTGTTCATGCCTGGCATTGAAAATGGGGCTTAAACCATCAACTCGTTTCACTGGAGAACCGCGTTTAATCACAGGCGACTGCTTGGAATCGAAAGCCCGCATCTCAGGATGTGTTATTTTCACGATTGTGATCATGTTCTTACAAAGTCCATTGTTGGTACTGGTTAAAACGAAGGGCGCGAATCTACAGGTACATCTAGACAGGTTTGTGTGATGCTGGGCTTGTTTTTACATTCCTTAAAGATCTGAGCACATTCCACGGGGTGCCTCGTGAGGTGTGTAACCCCGTGTAAAGTAATTAAAAATCCTTGTTTCTTGTCTGTGAGCTTTGACAAAAAATATTCACCACTCATCATCCACACACTACTCACCACTCAGCATCCATCCACGCACACTACTCACCACTCAGCATCCATCCACACATTACTCACCACCTGATATTCACACACTACTCACCACTCATCATCCATACACCACTCACAATCGACACACCACTCACCATCGACACACACTGCTCACCATCGGCCATGCACCAGGGACAACAACTCCCCCAGGAATAAACCCGTTTCTCAGATTTTCAGAAGGAGAGATTGAGACCAAGAAAGAACTGCAGAGCGTAAACACAGATCCTCGCAGAAGGAAGAGGCAATGACACAAACGTTAAAAAGGCAGCTCCAACCGACTCCCCTTCGCCTTAAATTGACTTGCTCCTCACTACATTCATGACCTCCTTCAGCCACGAATATTCCATCAAGATCGTCAAGATCCTCAGCTTGTGCATTGCTCACCATCCCACGGTCTCCAGGCTAGACACGTGGGGGGTGACGGTGCTTTGGCAATCGTGGCACCTAAACTCTGCAAATCGTTGCCCTTCGAGGTCAAGGAGACTTCCGAGACGCTGCTCATCTTCACATCTCCACTAAAGCCGTCTCTGTTTAAAATGTCTTTCTCCCTTTAGTGATGTTCAAATGTCATTCTCACTTCATTCCTTGGGTGATGTTCACTATTTTATGACTTACCATGCATAGCACCCCGAGAGCAATTGTTAAAGGACATTTAGTAAATGTAAATATAAATTATATTATTAAATTACCATTACCGAAAAATTGTTAAATCATTAATTTATTATCATTTTGCATTATTATCATCAAAGTATTACAATATTATTGTTCTATTATTTAAGTGTCAGTAGGAAACTTATTTAATAATTAAGATGTTAATAGATACAAATGTAAAAAAAATCGCTAAATCTTTGTCATTTTTATGAAGGTCCAATTAAATTATATTTATTAAATTATTATTACTGCCGGCCACGCCAGTTGGTTCAGGGCACGGGGTCTGCCACCTGCGGCTCCGAAGCGGCGATCGGCTCTTTGAGGGACGGCTGCTTCGTGAGACGTTTTCATCACCACCACCACCACCGTCTCTCGGACTCACACCGAGTTGCATTGGGGCTCTTGAAATAATTAGATGGTTGTTTTTTATTTAACTTTACGAACTGTAAAAAACAAGAAAAAATATTTCTTTGTTATTTTGGTTTCTGAACCCCTTGCTTATAGGGGAATCTGTTTTTTACATTAAATACGAACTTACAGCTCACCCGAGCCGAAATGTGTTTTTGTTTACGTGACAAACTGTACTCATTGGATGTGTCGCGTGGTGGCGGATTAACGACACGTTTATATTTATGCGATCTAACCCAAAAACACGTTTAATGAAGAATTTTGGTCGCGAAAGCCGACAATTTAAAAGCTTAAATAAGAATTTACACGGTGCGGTTTACCGTGAAAACCCCAGACTCACCCAAGCCGGTGTAACCAGTCTGTAAGACAAACCATCATCTTTTTCATGGTTACCGTGGGGGTTTTGTAAAAATATATCAATTGCGACTCTTTAACCTTGACACTGTGTGTGTGTGAATGTGACGCCACGCCTACACAGGTGAGTACGGGCTGCCGCGTGCAACATTCCAGGGCACGTCTCGAGGTGTTAATAATTTATCTGCAGGTGAAATCAGTTCGTTTCCTTGTTGTCGTTGCTCTGTTATTATTTTTATATCTCGCTGCGATTACTTACATTTCGCTGTGGTGGCTGGAAGATGTTAACTATTTCGCTTGGTATACGGGAGGGCATGGGTTCGATCCCGACCCTGACGCCTATACGTGTACTTGGAGTTTGCATGTCTCTTTCTCCATGGTAGCTTGGATTTCTCTCCGGGTCCTCCAATTCCCCCCCACCACACACACTTAGAAACGTGCGTTTAGAGTGTTTGGCTGCTAGAAATGTTAACGTAATAAACCACGTTGTCGTTGAGCTATCTTTTGTGGCCAAGTCATTTTTTAAATATATATAGAACTCGCCAAACTCAGCGAGTCCAAGATGTAAAATGTTAACATTAACAATAGGTGATGAAAATATCATTATTTTATGAAGATTTAAAACCTCTTTTTTACATAATAGGAAAATATACAGTGAAAGTCATGTCGATAACGAGCTTAAATGAACGACGATGTTTGTTTATCCAGGGGTTGTTCGCTGTGGTAATGCGTGAGGCCACCCACCCAGGAACCCAAGCACTCAACCGCACGCCCTCCCAGCCACCCTTCCTCCCTCCATCACCTCCTGCTCGTCCACCCTTCACGCCATCCTCCTGCCCATCTGTCTCCCCTCTCACCAAATAACCCCCCACTCACTCAACCTCCACCACCACCCACTTGCACCTTCGATTAGCACGAGTGGCTACGTACGCTGCGAAAAAAGTTCAACATATATACTGACCCACTCACCCACCCACTCACCCAACCACTCACCCACTCGCCCACACACTAACCCACTCGCCCACCTACACACCTACGATTAGCATACATACAACCACCATCCACCCAGAATAAAACGGTGTCGTAGGAATAAATAACCAAAAAAATATTTCACAGATAAACATAGGTCGCATGAAGCCAGTAGTTAAATATTAGTTGACAAAGGTTGAAAACGATTACAGACTTTGAAGCTTAAACAAACAGGCCTTGCAAGAAAAAAATGGAAAAAGACACAGATGGGAAAAAAACAAGTTAATCTTTACATCAGAATGTCTGTACAAGGTGCGGTTCCACTGTGTGCAATGCACACATCCTGACCCGAGCCGGTCAATCAGCCTGTGGGACAAACCATTATCGCTGTGTGCCTGGCTGATGCTGCTGCTGGGTTTTGTTTGTAGAAATATTATATCACTTGAGACCAGTCAAAGCTATGTATGTATGTTGAACTTCTTTCACAGCATACGTAGCCAGCCATGCTAATTCGAAGTGCAGGGGAAGGACAACAAACTAATCACAAAAATCAGTTTTAGCTATAACAGTGCGTGTCTATAACGCCACGTCTACACAGGTGAGCACGGCCACCGTGTGGAACATTCCAGGGCGTGTCTAAAGGTATTTATAACTTAACTGCAGGTGAAGTAAAGTTCAATTTCCTTGTTCGTCTCCCCTGTGTGAGCTGCTGCTGCGATTGCTCCTCCGTGAGCCGCGGCGAGCAACTGAGTCCGAGTAAAGCTATGGCGAGCGCATCTCCCAGTGAATGTGTAGACAGTGAGCTGAGCTGCCCCATCTGCCTGGGCACGTTTGAGTGCCCCTCCACGCTGAGCTGCGGACACTCGTTCTGCCTCCGGTGTCTGGACGGTGCCTGGGAGAGAGCGAGCAGCTTCAGCTGCCCGCAGTGCCGAGCGGCCTTCCCTGAGCGGCCCCAGCTGAAGAGGAACGTGGCGCTCGCCAACCTGGTGGAGCAGCTCAGAGTTGGAGAGAGGATGGCCGCAGTTGTCTTCTGTGACACCTGTGGTGATGGAGAGACTCCTGCAGTGAAGACCTGTCTAAGGTGTGAGACTTCCTTCTGTGACTCTCACCTGAAACCTCACCTGAACAACCCGAGATTGATGGACCACGTCCTGGTGGCTCCCATTGTCAGCCTGGAGGAGCGAAGATGCCAGCAGCATGGAGACCCCTACAGGTTCTTCTGCAAGCAGGACGAAAGCCTGATCTGCACAGTCTGCACAATCGCAGGGCACCATAGAGGGCATGATGTCAACACACTGGAGGATGTGCATGAGATACGGATGGTGAGGCCCTCAGGGAGTGAGAACCACTCAGAAGTGAATGATACCACACACGAGCTGGTAAAAGCCATCACTGCGCATAACAATGAGCCATGTAAATAATCAGTGTTACTGGGATTAATAGAAACATCTCATAAAACAAACATCACCATGAGTTGATTCCCTCTCTGTGGTCTCTTGCATTGTATACTCGTCAGTCAGTCTAGTCTGACTTCCTGACCACTCTTCTGGTGGGCATTTCAGGGCCACCACTGTGGAGTGGCTCCGTGTGGAGTGGGCATGAGAGGGGGTCACTCAGGGAGTGGAGTCTCCTCTGGTGACTTTGTCTCTTACAGAGTGGAGTCAGAGAGGAGACGCGAGCGGTGGAGAAGAAGAGGAGTGAGGCTGAGGGGTCTGTGGAACGGATGGAGGCCACTCGCAGGGACGTGCAGGTACCGCGTGTCAGCTCTGTGACCCTGTGACCTCCACCGTGTGGAGTCTGTGACTCTCCCTGTGAGGCCAACTCCGTAGAATTGTCATCCGTCACTAAATCCCTAATAAATCTACAGGAAATTGAATCATTATGGTGACGAGTGCTTGAAATGTGAACAAAAAATTTCAATTCAACTTTATAAGAAAAATGTTCATATCTCGTGCCTCCAGCCAAGATGCTCACTTAATTTTACTGAATAACTTAAAAACATTCGCTATCGGTGAGATGGTAAGACCAGTATAAGTATAATATATACAAGACGACCTTGTGCTGCAGGGAGTTTATTACTTTGCATTAATTTATGTTCGTGCAGTGTGTTTAATTTATCGTGTGACGTGGCTGTCTTCGTGCTGATTCCTATTTTCTTCGTTGCTGTGCTTTATTCTTTTATTTCGTAATTCTTTTGACCCAGGCCGCTCATACAAATAAGACTCTAAATTTCGATTTAAAGCTTTCGTGACTGCAATGATTCATCTTCTTTGGTTCTTTCGGTAAAGTCACGTAGAATGAGAATAAAATAATAAATTGATAAAATAAAATAATAATATTCTCACGACGTTTTGGCCACAACACAAGCGGCCTTCATCAGGTGAAGGGACGAGACTGTCTGGTAGGACAGCGCTGGAGTGAAAGAGCCACGTTCAGATCACGGCCTTTTAAGCTGTGTGAGAGGAACAAAGCGCCTTGACAAAGGAATTAGCATATAATTTAGCATTGAAATGGCTGAATGATTAGCTTGTGACTGGTCACAGAAATAGTTATGTTAAAAGTTAAAGCATACACATCCGCAGAGGCACCCCTTGACAATGGAATTAGCATAGAATTTAGCATTGAAATAGCTAAGTTAAAGCATACACATCCGCAGAGGCACCCCTTGACAATGGAATTAGCATAGAATTTAGCATTGAAATAGCTGAGTGATTAGCTTGTAACTGCTCACAGAAATAGCTACGTTAAAGTCAGACCATACACATTCACCGAGGCACTTAGTACAAATCAAACAGGAGAATTTAGCATTGAAATAACTAGGCGAATTTAGCATTGAAATAACTGAGTGATTAGCTAGTGACTAGCTGAAACGTCGTGAGAATATTATTGTGTTATTTTATTTTATCAATTTATTATTTTATTCTCATTCTACGTGACTTTACCGAAAGAACCAAAGAAAATAAGACTCTCTCGAAATCTTGAGTTCTCACCCGATAAAAACAAAAATCAACTTAAACTTTATTTAACTAGGAGATAAAATATCCTAATAGAAGCACATGATGAAAGTGTCATAGTTTATAGTGTTATAGGTTCTAGATAATAGATTATAGAGTTCGAGTGTAAAAGTTAGGGTTGACCAAAGGCGTTGATCAAAGGCATTATTCCACCACGGGACACGAGCACGCTGGTGTATCAGGTATGGCACTGGTGTGGGTGGAGTCATGCCTACATAAGTCGATCACGGTTCGTGAAGCTGGGTGATGAACAGTCATCGCTTATGCTGTGTCTAGTTGGTGTACCACAGGGGTCCGTTATCGGGCCCTTCCTATTTTCAACATATGTCTCTCCAATCGCCAATGTCATCTCATCGTATGACATCAAGTTCCATCTATATGCTGAGACAATTTTACACCGCAGTTAATTAAAAGTTAGATTTGAAGAGCCTCGGTGACTTTGAAAATTGCATGTCAGCAATGCACATGTGGTTTGCACGAAGTGAAACGCTGCTTAATCCAGTAAAATCAGAGGTTCTGCAGGCGAAAACATTTGTGGGAGGATCAGGTGTGGTGGTCGCAGACTCCAGGATGCAGTTTTCTACTCATCTAAAGAGCCTCAGCACCATACTCAATCAGAATATGTCGATTGATCTCCACGTGCAAAATACAGACTTTGACACTGCCAAAAGCCTAAAGTACAATTAAAGATCAGCTGACACGACTCAACGAATTAGCCCAGGAAACCAAGACACCGCATACTGTACAATAACAGCCACATACCGTCATACACCCACCTATGTGTAGGCCGTGACCTGCTACATTTGCACAGTGCAACCTAGCGTTGTGACATCATCATTAGAGCCATGGGCGCCATTTTCACCACCCTGAATGGGTCTCAAACGGTGTGGATAAAATTCTAGAAACTAATCGCAATGAATGAAGAGATAGCCCTCACTCGGACGCCTTCACAGCCGTCCCGAGATATCCCTGAGGCACAAATCAGACTGTGGCGTTGCAGCGGTTTCTAATAAAAACAACTTAAAATGTTATCTTCATTAGGAAATTCACGTTGAACGAATCATTTTATGTATATTTTTCAACACAACAAAACAATTTAGAGAAAAGTATTTGTAGTAGAAAAAATATTTCTCATCTCCAGCTGATTGGTGGGGCAGCGCCCCAACGCCCCTTGTGTACGAAACGTGCCTGGTTTCAGAATATTTTTTGAAGTAATATTTATGATGCGAAGGAAACAAGGTTTTTTTTTTTTTCCAAAACGTTGGTGCTGCAATGGCAAGGGCTTTGTCACCTATTCCAATGTTTGTTCTTTGGATAGTTAAAGGCAATTAGATGGACGCCTTAGATTTCTTGGATTTGGCAATGGGATGAATGAATTAGCTCAGTACAGCGTAGATTTGCCAATCAAAATTTTGTGGATGAACAGGGCCCACTGTAGATTTCTTCTTGGATCCAGTAAAGTGAGATTGGATTTTTAATTAGATGTCACAATGGTGGGTCCTGTGTGGTCCACCCAGTGCAAATCGATGAGCATAATGATGAATCTGGTTTAGTCGGTTTAATGATTCATTAGGATCGGATCTATAAGCAGCATCACAGTAGTCAATGAGTGATTCAATGAGAGCTTCACCTATTTGCAGACATCATCAAATGGGAAAATAATGTTTGATTCTATCTAATCCAGAGATTGATTTGATATTTTACTGTTTGGCGGTGTATAGCAACACATCAGAGCAAAATGTTGGTTAACTGGAGAATAAATTGTGACCATAATATATTCAAAAGAGCCCGGGTTTATTACAGTAGAAAGTTGTATGCAACGTAGGTCAATTTTCACATATACTACCACACCTCCTCTTGATTGTCTAATCACAAATTATTATATCCGTAAATTTCATTAGGCTAGGATTTATATGTGAGGTAAACCATGTTTCAGACAAACAGAAGGTGTCTGGCTAAATATTGAATTAAATTTTGAATTGTAAAAATGTACCTTTGTCAAAATTAAAGGCCTTAATAGTATTTTGAAATAAAGTGCTATCTTAATTGGCGTTTGCTGACATGTCGAGAGGCATGTCTATGCAGCAAATTGTAAATGTTGAGGACCAGTTTTAGGGCATTAAGTTGAAGTCCATCGAAGCCCTGTTGTAGATGCTGGGGCTGTGTCATCAGCAAAAACGTAAATGTCAAAGTGCAGATTGGAGATGCCTTCTTGTTGAAATAGAAAGAAAACAGAACAGGGCCAAGCACAGAGCTCTGAGGAACTCCTTTAGTATTCGGGGTCCTGTCAGTCCCCCATTATGGACACAATTTGAAATCGGTGAGATAAGTCGTTGCGAATCCACTTGATTGCACAATCCGAAACATGTAGCAATTTTAGCCTTTGCAACATTACAGCGTGATCCACAGTGCCACGCATGCCCAATCAGCTTTTGTTTGACCAGATAGAGGGGGATAAACGGGCATAGCATGGGCTAGAAAAGAGACGGAGCTGATGTGGTACATGAGGATGTGGGGCTGAGTGGACTTGTCGATGACCGGTACCAGCAATGTCAAGATTGGCCTCTGTGAAGGAGGATGCTCATGAAGGACGCTCCTGGGCAGTTGGAGGCAGTCGCCATCCAGCAACAGTGGAGGGCAGAGGAGTGAAGCTCACAAAAATGAGCGAAGCACCGGGCAGCTAAAAGAACATTAAATCTAACTGGTATTGGCCAAACTTCACAATGCTGAGAAGTTACTCAATTAATACCACAAAGCAACAGCGTTGCCCTCTACTCTCAAAACTTGGCAGGACCTTGCAAAAATATGCTTGCAACCAAGTTGGTTATGTACGGTGCAAAAGAACTTCAACATACATACAAGAGAGATATTTCTGGGCAAACAAGCAGAATAATAAAAAATAATAACCATGGCTCATGGAAAATCTTATCTTATATTTATAGAGTGCGTTCTCTCATGGCGCTTTATAAACAAAAACTGTAACAATAGAGTAAGTTAGACGGCAGGGCCAATAAATCCGTGACAGTAACAGAGGGCACATAGGGGTCGTGAAAGGGCAGGGGAGGAGTGGGAAGGAGGGGAGGGGTGAGGGGAGAGGAAGGGAATGGGTGAACTTTGAGAGACGAACGAAAGGAAGCTAAGGAGGGGGACTGCTTCATGTAGAGGGGAAACGTCGTGAAAATTGTATTATTTTATTTTTATTAATTTATTATTTCCCTTCTACATGATTTTACCGAAAGAACCAAGAATATGAATCCCTGCAGTCACGAAAGCTTTAAATCGAAATTTAGAGGGGAATGGTCAATCATTAGAATCCGTGTCGCTCGACAGGGATCTATGACTGGGGTGAAGGAGCGAATCAAAGCTGAGTTCACCCGCCTGAGAACGGCACTGAATGAGGACGAGAGGGTGGCTTTACATCGCGCAGAACTGAAGGAGAAGGAGCTGCTGTCCCAGATCGACAAGAACATCGCTCATTACAAGCACGAGATCAGCGAGCTGCAGAAAGCAGCCGCGCGCCTCCGCACTCTGCAGGAGGAGAGGGACTCGCTCACGTTCCTGAAGGTAGATCGCTCGCGAAGCCAGGGGGAGTGCCCCAGTTTGACAGAGCCCTCAGCAGTAGAGAGGCTTCTGGCCCTAGGGTTTAGATGCTCAGAACATGAGAACACAGCTTCAATAACAATAATAATTTCCCATTACCACGATAGTGGCTTCATTTGAAATTCCACTATCTATCTAAATTAATTATGTACCTTATCGCATTTTCTGCAGAGAATTCCACATATTACCCTGAAGATAACATTCAGATAAAGTTCAATTCTAAATACCTGATGTTATGCAATTTAATCGACTTTTTATAAACAGTTGCTCTGTTGCTATCAGGTGTTTGATATCCACTCTCAAGCACTTTTAATATACAGACATGAATTTCCTCTGCAGAAATAGACATTGCTTATCATTTTGAGAGGTTGTTTCAAGCCACGGGAAATGAGCACTGCCCAAGGCTGAAGGGGACTCAAACCCTGGCTAAAGGGTTGATATGCTCAGGTCTTGAGAAGATCGCTTCACTTATTAACCAAGGATACAGATTTGGCCTTCACGGGGTAATTAGCCAAGATGCGGGATTCATATTCCGGTTATGGGACTCGCAGAGAGAACTCGAGCAATGCCATGGGAGCGAATGGAGGCAGCATCACAGTGACGTATCTCTCTGTATCCCACAGGGGCACCTGGAGGAGACACGCAGGTACAGAACCTCAACCATCACAGACCAGCACCACGAGGCGGTGCAGTGTGGGAGCCTTCAGCTGTGTGTTTACTTGTACAGTGATTTTAATCACCGTTGTGATTGTAGTTTACTTGGATAGTGATTTGAATCCCTGTTGCATACATTAAAGTTAACATCAGGTGGTTCTGATGAATTGCTTTAAACGATACTATCCTAGCTCGTTTCTTTAGAACTGCTTTGTGTTTAGTTTGTTGTAATTCCCCTCACCTTCGATTAGCATGGTTGGCTAAGTTCGGTGCGAAAGAAGCTAAATAGACACACAAACATATGTGTGTAATGATGCTCTTTGTGATATGGACAATTTGCTGTGTGTGCTTGGTGCTGTTTGTGATTATCTGTATGTGGAACATCGGCTGTTTATATTGAGTGGGTGTTACAAACTGGATGCGTGTGGCCATGCAGTCTATTATAGAGTTTTTTGGCTTAGATCACGTAAATATATAAATGTGTCATTAAAACCCACTACCACCCGACACAGCCAACTACATGCTAATTTCTCAAATTAACATCACGCTAATCCCTCACATTAACATAGCCACTTCCGTGCCCTCGTCGTAGGAGGCCGCTCTCATATCTTACAATCACATGCTAATTTCTCACATTAACATAACTAGCCCCGGTCACTGCTTTATAACCCTTGAGCTACACCTATTTCAAACCTTTTAAAACAGTCTACGTCAGCAGCAGACCATGCTTTCCCACCTGATGATGGACGCTTATTTTGCGCCCAAAACGTCGTGATTTATTTTATTTAATACCTACGTGACTTTACCGAAAGAACCAAAGATTATAGTAAGGGTTGTCACGTAAACAGAACATGCCAATTCGTGACTAGTACAGCACACCGGTGTGTTGGAGAGCCGAGCCAAGCCACAACATTTACAATCTGAGGACGACGTTTCACCAGTAATTACAAATAGCTTCATCAAGCGACAGCCAGATTTGTGGAGAAATCTTACTGTTTTATTCCATATATAAAGGCGTAGATGTGTTGACCACGCAGCTGCGCTCTCGCACAATGTGTGGGCGGGGGGCGTGGTTACTAAGGCAACATACATTATGCATGTGCATTATGCGAGCCCTTTGAACTTGACCTTCCTGTCTATTGTGTTTATTAAAATAGCCCTATCAACGGTAATCCCTACTGAAGTACGCTGCCCTTTGTAGACATGCATTTAAATAATTTATTATTTGAAGATTTGCTTGCACGCAGCACTAAGGCGGAAGCTATCCAAACAGTTAAAGAATTTTGATTTCTTTCAATTTCGATAGATTATCTAATTAGTCTTGGCCAGTAGTAGCTAGTCTTGCACAAAACTTCAAGATTATTAAATTGATTGAGTATCCTTGCTTGCACACGTGTTCTGCTACTGCTGACAGTTGTATTATGGATAATTTAATGTTTCTCTGATGTTCTTTTAGTCTCGTCCTGTTTGCCCAACATGACATTTACCACACGTGCAGTTAATCCTGTACACACCTTCTGTTGATAGCTTCCGTAATACATCTTTTGTACCAGATATTATTTTATGTACCATGCCAAATCTGACTCGGATGTTTTGTTTTTCCAAACATCTATCTAGTTTATCAGTTACTCCCGCAATGTACAGTATTTAAATCGTTTTAATTACTTGGGCAGTTTCAGTGCTCTTACTTGATTTGGTTTTAGTGTTCAATGCCCTATTGATTTGTGCATCATTGTAACCGTTAATTTGCAGCGCTTCTTTAACATGTTCAATTTCACTTCTCAGACTATCACCATCTGACACTTTCTTAGCTCAATGAATGAGCATCTTAATAAGAGCAGATTTCTGTGAGGGGTGATGGTGTGACTCTGCATTCAGATAGCCATCAGTATGCGTTTTCTTTCGGTAAACACTGTTATTTTACCATGCTAATGTTGCGTAAATAGAGGACTGCATATTGCACAAGGACTATTTATGGAGCATGAGCTGTGTGTGGGACACAGGTTCCATTTAATGATGCTGCATTTTAAACGTTGTCTGCATGTGGTGATGCTGTGTGTGTGTGTGGTGATGCTGTGTGCGTGTCTAGTGATGCTGTGTGTGTGATGATGCTCTGTGTATGTATGATGATGCTGTGTGTCTGTGGTGAATCTGTGTGTGTGTCTAGTGATGCTGTGTGTGTGATGATGCTCTGTGTGTGTATGATGATGCTGTGTGTCTGTGGTGATGCTGTGTGTTTGTGTGGTAATGATGTGTGTGTGGTGATGCTGTACGTGAGTGGTGATGCTGTGTGTGTGTGTGGTGATGCTGATTGTTTTTTGCTAATCTTGTCACAGGGGAAAGGTTCCTAAGAAGTCTCCGCCCCCAGCTCCTACTCCACTGGACACCCCCACGATCTGCTCCCTTGAGAGAGTCATGGGCAGACTGCTCCCTCTCGTCTGTGAGTTCATCACTCCTGCCCCAGTGTGGAGGGGAGACCTTGGCTATTGAAACAACTGATTCCAGATACTAGGGTCCTGGGTTCAATGCCCAGTTCTAACTGATGCCCAGTATAGTCAATGTACTCATGTGCTGTGAGTCTAGGCTGAGCTTAGTCTCCAATCGTTGCACAACAAACACAACCCTCTATTGCTAGTAGCACTTCGTTCACTCTCATCCAAAAGCGAGGGCATCAATGTCAGTGTCATATCATGATGCATATGACTCAGTGTTAATTCCTGAGACTCACAGAAGCAGAATAAGTCTCGTTTTGGAATGTCAGGATTCATCATTCCTATTCCAGGCTGTTACATTTAGGCTCGAGCAACTTTTATAAGTCGTAGGGTTCAGTGTCCATATTCCAGGCTCAGGTGATAATTTTATCACTCTTCATATCATAAGATACGTTACAGTTACACAGGTAGTGAATTATCTAAATTTTAATGTATAGTGCACACACATGAGTGTAAATCGCTCTTACGGTGCTCTATTAATACTAGACGGGTATGTTAAACTTGTTTCCCACCGCACTTAGCCAACCATGCTAATCGGAGGTGCGAGTGTATAATTATTGAGCGAGGATGTCATTGGCCAATGTGGCAGATGAATCTATTAGTAGAGGAGGTTTCTCGGTCAAGGATGTCATCATCAGACGAGAGCCAGACTACATCACCGTTGTAATGCAAAAGGTTAATTGTTAATGCATGAGGTGCATAGCCAGGCTAACTCAGCATTAGGATTCATCAATATTGCTTGAGGCTGCTATATCCCTTCTAAGGCACCTCAAGGATTATTGGGATTGGGTGTTAATTCCCGAGGCTCACAGAGCCACACTGGGCTATCACTGTGGCTGACCATGTGTATCACTGTACATGTGTTATAGTGCAAAGACGTCTCAGAGGCAGATCTTCTTAGGGGCTTACGCCAAGGGTTTATTTGGGGCTTACGCTAAGAGACTATTAGGGGCTTATGCCAGTTATGGGCTAAGGGCTAATATAATTCTCCCCAGGGATAGGGTACTGGGACTCCTAACACACTGACTTACCGGGCTCTTCCCACTGTGCCAGCCGAGGGCTCTACCAAAATCGGCCGAATGGGTAAAGCAGCCACTCCTAACCCTCATGCTAGATTTCCCCTATTCCCCGTCAGCCCTACCCCTGGGTCCCAACTTCCACCCTTCACGTTCCCGGGCTCCTGCTACGATCCGCTCATGTCACGGGCTCCAGCTTAAGTACCCCACGGAGACATGACGTCATCGCCCCGCCCCCCATGCATGACGTCACTGCTCGTGACGTCATCCTACCGGACGTCACCGCACCAGAAGGTGAGCGTGATGTAATGTCCTCGACTACTCTTCTACATTACCCCCTCCCCCCGCCTCCCCCCCCCCCCCCCATGAAAAAGAATCAGCCTACACCGGCTGTAACCATTACTAGGCAGCATGGTACAAGTTAAAGTTTGGAAACAGTCCCCACATGGGACACTGTAAAAGTGTCCAAGGAAGGCAGGGGACGAATAAATGGCCCCACTGGCCGTCACAGTACCCGCACGCCCCGCGAGCGTGTGCGTGATGCCGGCCCGCTTCCCCGTGCAACGTCGGGCATCGGAACCGGTGGTGTACTGGCAGCTGTCAAGTCCGTCGCCGGTACATCCACCTGGTGAGGTGTCGCTGTTTGTTACTGGCGGGGGCTCTGCAGGCGCATACACAGGCAGGGCATCGCTCGCGCCATAACAACCCGTGCGGCCCGGGTTGTCGGATGCATCAATCGCCGGCCGCTCCTGAAGTGGGGATGAATCGGTGAGGCCAGGCAGTACAACCCGCTTGAGCCGAGACGGGTGCACAATCCAGTGGCGGCGGCCCAACTGAATACGGATGCACTGCAGTCGGCGGACTTCTATGACTTCGACAGGGCCCTGCCAAGGGCGATGCAATTAAGGTTAATGTGCCAACAGGTACTTGGGGGCCGACAGCCTGGTGTTTGGGCAAGCGCTCGTTAGCCGCCTGCCGGCTGGCCGAATTATCCAAGGTCGCCTGCCGTGCCTCGCGCAGCCAGTCGAGTGCGAATTTCATTGGGGCAGGCACTGGTGAGCATTTTTTGAAGGCCCCAAGTCCAGCTGGACATGCATTGGGGGCTCCGGGTCTCTGCCATACATTAAATAAAAAGGGGAGAACCCTATCGAGGCATGCGGTGCCAACCTATACATGGCCAGAACCCCCGGAATGAACAGGTCCCAGTCCGATTGGGACGTACTCACGTGGTGGCACAGCATGGATGTGAGGGTGCGGTTCAAGCACTCTACCATCCCGTTGGACTGGGGGTGGTAGGTCGAGGTGCAGATTTTCTTTGTGCCAAGAAGGTCGCAGACTCCTTGAGCACCCGAGAAGAAAAGTTCCGCCCCTGATCAGTCAAGAGCTGTTCCCGCGCACCCTTGTCAACAACGTACTCCTGTACGAATGCCTCAGTGATGGACGAGGCCGACTGGTCCATCAGAGGCCACGCCATAGGCCAACGTGTGAGGTACACAACTCACACCAAGAGGTACCTGTGGCCCCGTTGGGATACGGGGAATGGCCCCAGAATGTCGAGTGCCATGAAATCATTGACACGAAAAACCCGGATGGACTGCAGCGGGGCCCGATCCTGGCCAACTGGGGCCTTCCTCCGTGCACAGTCGTGGCAACCCTTCAAAATTAGTGCCACGTCATCCTCCACACGTGGCCAATAGTAGACCCGTTAAAGGGTCAACAAGGTCTCATTGTAGCCCAGGTGCATAAGTTCCTTGTGAATGGCTCGGGTCAATTTACCTCGCAGGCCAATGGGCACAACCACGCAATAATGTTCCAACTGGGCATCCCAATGCATGAGGAAGCCGTCATGCACGGCAATCACCGGGGCAGCCGACGGAGTTGAGCTCCGGGCATTTGGCCCAACACGGCGTCGTAGCCTCAGCAGAGGAATCCTCCATCTGCAACTTAGACCATACCTCTCAGGGGAGTCCCAGGCCGAAATCAACAGGCAACACCACACCCGGAGGGGGGGCCGCTTCGGCCGATGCAACCAACTGGGCCGCCGTGTCCATTGGGGCCTTGCCGCGGCTAGAACCCAGGGCACAAGCGCACCCGCCGTCCGTAGGCAGCCTGGAAAGGCCATCCGCATTCCCATGCTGAGTCCCCTTCCGGTGGATGACATCGAAGGGGTACTCCTGGAGCACCTCGAGCCAGCGGGACAGCTGACCCGAAGGCTGGTCAATCCTCAGGGAATATTGCAGGGCCACATGGTCGGTCCGGATGGTAAACCGCCTACCATACAAATAGGGCCTGTACAGCTGGACGAAAAACACTGTGGCCAGCAGCTCCCTCCGGGTCACACAGTATCTCTGTTCAGTGGGAGACAAAACACGGCTGCCATAGGCAATAACCCTCTCAACCCCATCGACCACCTGAGCCAGGACAGCCCCAATGCCCGTGTCACTGGCATCGGTGTCGAGGAGGAAGGGTTTGGAGAAGTCCGGATACCCCAGGGGCGGCGCATCCGCCAAGGCCGTGCCTTGTGCCACAAAAGCGGCTTCCTCCTCTATCCCCCAGCAAAACTTTTGACCTTTGGCAGAGAGTGCGTGCAGTGGCTTTGCAATTGTCACAAAATCGCGGACGAACCGACGATAGTACGATGCGAAGCCAACAAAGCTACGCACCTCAACGACAGATGTAGGAGTCGGCCACGTCCGGACACAAGCTGTCTTTTCCGGATCCATGGCAACACCTGACGCACTCACAATGTGTCCCAAATACTTCACCGATGGTTGCAATAAATGACATTTCTGTGGTTTGAACTTCAAGCCCGCGGCCCACACTTTGAGGAACACTGCCTCAAAGCATTGCAAGTACTCGTCAAACGTACGGCCGAAAACAATAACATCATCCAAGTAGATTAAACAAGATTTCCACTGCAGCCCCGCCAAGACCATCTCCATGAGATGCTGGAAGGTGGCCAGGGCCGAATGGAGACCCATAGCAAGCCGATTGAATTGGAACAGCCCCTGGGGTGTGCGGAACGCTGTCTTGGGTCTAGAGGCCTCGTCCAGTGGCAACTGCAGAAGCCCGAGAGCAAGTCTGGGGTCGAAAAGAACCGCGCACCCGAGAGAGCGTCCAGGGAATCATCATGCGAAGCAATGGATATGCATCAGCCACCGAGATCTTGTTTAATTTACAGAAGTCGACACAGAAACGGAGACTCCCATCCCGTTTCTTGACTAGCGCAAAGGGGGCACCCCAAGGGCTAGTGGATGGGGAGAAAATGTCCGCTGCCAACATCTCGTCACCTGCGGAGCGGACATGATCCTTTTCCGCCGGGCTAAAGTGGTATGAATTTAGCCGAATAGGGGTCGAGTTTCCCGTATCTATGTGATTGTTCCAGGAGAGTGGTGCGACCTAGATCGAATTTACTCTGGCTAAACACATTGGTGAACCTCACGATGAGTTCGTGGAGCCACTCGTGACACAACACATCGATCCATGATGCGTCGGTCCTCCCCTTGTGCAACATACCAGCCACAAACTCTCCAGCCGGCCTAGCATCATCGGGAGGGGGGGCCCGGGGTAGCGTCCGCTAAAACGGCACCAGCTGGAACGACGATCGGCAAGGGCCCCGAATTTAGGACCTGTAAAAAGGGGTCCTGGCCCGCCGACATGGCCGTCAAGGCGCCTACCTACTCGTCCGACCTCGAAAAGTAATTGGAGGGAGACAAGAGGATACTTGCCTCCGGGGAATGCAATTTTAATGGTCTGCACAGCCTGAGGGGTTGTAGGAATTGTGACCCAGGTGGAACCGTCACAGACACCTTAGTCAAGGGCCGCACACTGGTGGCAAGGGGGGACAGTACAGTGGGAGAATGCAGAAAGTGCAACCACCCCCCCCGACGGCATCTCTACACAACCTTGGTCAACAAAAATTCGCACGGGCATTTTGGCCAAAAAGTCAGTCCCCAAGAGACATGGCAGTGCCAAGGTCCTGGAGACAAGAATGGGCCCCACCAATTCAATTTCGCCAATTGTGATCGAAGCGACAATGTGACCCAAAATGCCAAGGCTGCCGCCATTCACAGCCACACAAGCTCCTTGAACCGGCCGCAACGGCCCAACGCTGCATGGCCGAAACCGAAAAATGGACTCAGAAACCATCCATGTCCACCAAGATTTGCACCTCGATCCCTTGCACGTACCCCACCACTGCCGAGGACACGGCAGCGGCCGCCACCACGCGATGCGCAAGTGCATTCCACTGGCGGGTCCGCCTGGGCCACCCGGCAGATGGACACTAATGTGCAGGGCCCGAGCCCGGCCCCCCAGAGATGACCCCGCGAGGATGGACCCTAACCCCGTTAGATGCGTGAGGTGAGGGGAGCCGCCGTACGATTGATGCGTCGCGACTTGCCTGGGGCCCCAAGGCTGCTGCTGCTGCTGCTGAAGAGCCAGTGGAAGGAGGGGAGGCCTTAGCGAAGGCCCCGGGAGCCTCGCGGCAACATACATCAATATAACTACACATTAAAATATAGCACATACACACAAATGAGTGCAAATCACTATTACATGAGCTCTTTTAACACTATACGTGTGTATAATTGAGTGAGCATGCTATTGCTATTCTGCGTGTGAGTCTGACACACACACACTAGGGCTAAGATGTTTATGATTCATTATTATTGCTTGAGGCAGGGAGATCCAGACACCTTGAGGATTGCCCGTGTAAATTACTATACTATCACACACACGAGTGTACATCACTACACTATCACACACACACACAAGTGTACATCACTACACTATCACACACACACACACACGAGTGTACATCACCACACTATCACTTCTGTGTGTCTAGGTGCGGACTTGGAAGTGCCCACCCTTGGTGAGATACTTGACCCCTTTTAATGGCTTGTACTTCTCCCCAGAGGTCCAGATGGTTCACTTTCAACCCTGTGATGACAACAACAGCTTCCAGTCACCACTATGCGGCGGTGATGTCACCACGGCACCTTGGCCAGGCCAGGTGGGTGCACTGTTGAGGCTGGTCAGTTGAAGTGTGAAAATCTCGCCGACAGGTCACGGAACAGAGCCTGCAGGTTTCGGTTTTTTTTTCAGTTTCATTTATTCGGTATAACCCCGTGAGCCCTGTGAGCCATGCGGCTCTTGACTCGGGTGCAACCGCAACATGGGTTGATTGAGATGACTGATAGCTGCACCTCCTGTGCCCCCTACTGTGCCAACTTACTGGGTTTAAGTCGCCCGGCGCTCCACTCGTCGTTGTGAGCATCGCTCCGCTGCCCTCCGTTGTTACTGGAGGGCGACTGCCTCCAATTGCCCAGTAGC